CCTTTCTCTTTCTTTGTGTAGTTAATAAAGGGTTTTATACCCTATTAAGTTTTAGGCTTCCTTGCTCTTTTGCTCCTGGCTCTGTCTCACGACAGAAAATGAGTGTGTTTAAATTAGCAAGCCAAAACTGTAACATTATTTAGTGCATTGGCTGGGAAATTCAAATTAAACCAAGACAGGTATCCGTTTATGTTGCCTCTCTTGCCAATAATAAAGAATGGGAAAGTCTGAATGGTGCTGGGGATGAAGAAATAAGAGGCAGGCAAAGGGCAAAACAGATAAATGATACTCTACAACTGCCCCATGTCGCTGAGATTACAGCGAAGTAGTAGAAATTCTTGTAACTTCCCCTAAAATTGATAACCCAAAGTACAAGTTAAATGACTGCTCTTGTGTTCTGAGCTTGCCAACGCTGCTCTTTCCACATTGTCCTTTTCTAATTGATTTTAAATACCACTGCATGTTTCACTAAAGCTGCATTAGTCTGTACAAAATCAGGTTAAGAGCAGCACGGGGGGCTGTGTTTCATCCTCCCTGGTTTTTATGGCATGTCCATGTTTATGAGTCACCCATCTCTTGCAGTAAAAGACTGGCTCCTGTTTGCATATTTATCAGGTTCTGGTCTCTGCAGTGCTTTTGGCATTACCACAGACAGGGCCGGATATTTTGGAGGTCACAATCAGTCTTTTCCAAACCAGGAACCTCTAGATGGTCTCTATTTCTGTATGTCCTGTCTTGGTGTGTGCCCATGGAAGCTGATCTGCAGTAAATGCTCTAGATTAGCCAGATTCATTATCTGGGGGAAGCCAGGGGAAATGTATCACTTCAAACATGAATCAATGGCCACGGTGTGAAGAGTAATTAAGGAATAACAGGGTGACTGATAAAATCTCTTTCTTTTAGCTGTCAATTCTTTTCCTCATCTTTTTCTCAGCCCTTTTTTGCTGCTTTCTATCCCATCTGTTATTGTTTGTTCTCTGGTAACGTGTAAAGGCCCAGTCTTAGGTTTTGTTGTAGATGATGTGCAAAAGGTGAGGTAAACCCACATCCCAGTAAAGACAGGATGATTAACCCTAATGTGGCCAAGATCTCGGGAGGCATGCTGAGGGATGATGCCTGTCCTAAAATTCACTTCATTAGTAAATGTAAGAAACTCAGAAAAAGGCAGGAATAAATCAATAAACAATGTAACAATTGTTATTTTATGTTTCTTAACATTTATTTCACGATGACGGTTATCTTTCTTGATGATCAGATTCTTTTATCTTTCTAATGTTCTCTGATTAGAGAGCTCTTTAGAAATGAAAATATTGTTGGAGATTATTTTCTTGAAGCTGCGGCATTTTTAGATTTATTCGGTGGCATTATTTGCCTCAGTATTGCCCCTAGAGCAGTATGGAATCCAGCTTTCACAGGGTTGCCTTCAATATATCCCCCAAAAAAGATCACTCTTCTTTAATCTGATTTTATTTTTAAATCATCAAAGTTATGACAAGTTGAGCAAATGCTAAGGATCTAGGAAGTAAGGCACTGAGCACATTCAGAGGCTAAAAGTGTCACTTTGAGGACAGCCCCTGTCTTTAGGCCAAAATATAGAGTTCTTTGCCAACTAAGCCACTAGGGCAGCCAAACTGTACTGCTCTTGCAATAATTATAAATTCTGACCAGGCTCTTAATTCTGAGAATCCCTCCTCCTGTGGTTGCAGTGTGAACAGATAGAGCATTAGTTGCCATAGAGAGACAATTACCAATTCATTCTCTTGTCTTGCCCTTCACTGGTAGTACATTTCCATTTTATCTGTTATTTTAGGTTTATTAGTTATTAGAAGTTCCTGAAAATATTTGAAGAAAGATTTAAAACACCTACTTCTTTGTACTTGCATATACATTTTCTTTAAAAATTTTGGGTGTCTTTGAGCCTCCATCAGTACTAGCTATAATTATCACAATAGGAAAAAAACTCCCTGCTTTGTTAAATCTGTTGAAATTGTTTTTATAGGGCACAGTAAAGTCAAAGTGTCCGCTTGACAGGACAAAGTACCTAAGAACAACCAGCTTGAAAGCTTGTTCTTATATGTTTCAACTTGTAAAATCTCACTGAGCATGTGTGTATTTGTGTCATTAGCACCTCATTTCTAATCTATAAATGTGCTGAGACCTTCTGACTTCCCCCATGGAATCCCATGCTACAAGGACTATTTTATTGCAATGCTTTATATGCTGAATATAATTCTGTGGTCCTGAGACAGAAGAGCATGAAGATTATATTGCTTTAGTTATTTGCAGAAATTCATTTTGCAAATGTTTTTTTGCGATGGCCTATAGGTCAGCTTGCAAATATTTCCCCAGAGATCAAGCTCAAAGAACATCAACTCTTTGGCTGCTTTTTCAAGTCCTTCAAGTATGGACTTGCAGAAAGTGGATGCAGCCCGAGCTGACCTTCTTGTAATTTATTACTCCAAATAAGAATTGTTTTCTGACATAACCTTTCTATGAAAGCAGATAATTTACGGTGGTTTTCTGCCTTCTTTTTTTTTTTTCTTTCTTTTTTTTTTCCTTTGTTTGTTTATTTTCATCCTGTCTAGATTATATCCAGATTAAAAAGCCACCTATAATCTAGCTCCCAGTAAAACTACTCTTGACCTGCATTAGGATTGAAAAGTCCAAAATTGTGTTAGAAAGGGCCAAAGACAAACTCTTCCTTAGCTGTAGTGAATAAATACCTTTGGGAAAGTAAAAGCTGGAAAGACATCCTATGGATTCAGATAGGTCTTTCCTGTGCTGTGAGCGGAGCAGTTGAATAACAAATTATAACTTTCACATAAATAATAATTTTATATTTTTTGTCACCAGGTTGCTGATTGCCCACATACTAGTAACATATTTTTATTACATTATCTTAAAGGATAGAACAACTGTTACATGCTATGTCTGACTTTTTTTCAAATTACACAGCTCTTTGTCTCAATAAATATTTCCGTGTTGACTCAGCTATATTTGCAACTTTTTGCAGTTTCTAAACAAACACATCCTCTCTCAAAATATGGTATATTTGATATATACCAAGGTCCAAGGCTTCTGTCAACAATGGACAGAGCCTCATCCACCATTCACCCCCCTCAGCTGATCCTACCTGCAGGTCACTCTGCAAAACTGCTCTTCCCTTTTGCAGTAAAAATCCGACTGCAGCCTCCTGTAAATGCAGAGCACCTGTGGCACGGTGCTGAACTTGGAACAGTGCTAAAAGAGTTTTGCAGCTCACGTTTGCCACGGGGCTGTCTGCTTTTATGTGCACGGGTGTTAGTATACAAATTGCCAAATCGGTGTCGGTTGTAGAGTAATGGCACAGGAGGCATCATAAATTACCAGGCTGATCCTCAGGAGAAGACACTGCTGTATGTCAATGAGTGCTTTGCTCTCAGGGTAATGTATGTCTTCATCTGGCCCAGTAGTCAGCATATTGCCCTGTGTTGATGGATATAGTCAGCTTGAAACTGCACTACATTTCACTGCACAATAAACATGGCTGTCAACACCATATAAAGCAAAATCAATTTATCCTGTATGGTCAGTGCGTTTTAAATGAAATTAATGTACTGTGGACCTGGTGGCAAAAAGGTAGTGTGTTAGTTATGCATCCTCTGCTTTAGGGCCCCTTTTTCATGCAAATGTGTTTCTTATATAGATTTTTAAAAAGGTATACCTATCTAATGCCTTCACTCTGAATTAGGAAAATTGATTCTTGCACGACTGAGAACTTGTGCCTGGATTCATTAAAACTGCAGTGTTTTGTTTTACTTACTGTAAAGAATTAATCTTATATTATTTGGCAAATAAATTCATGTTGGCAGCTGTAATAGTTTATAAAAAAACAGGAGGCCTATTGCTGCACTAATTTGTTGTCAAGTATCTTGCCTTTTCAAGGTATTAAATTATATGACCAATTTGATGAGGTCCAAGACTATCACTCTCCCACTGTAAACCCTTTTTGCTTTCTTCATAGCTAAGGTACAACTCTGAAAACATATATTGTCATCACAATTGCATAAGTTTTTCCCAGTAAAGGCATGCCTTGGTGATCTGTTTCTCCCACAGTGATTAGTTCTACACCTCAGCTCTGTGATCTCTAAAACCCCCATGAGACTTTTCTGTTTATGGTCAAGAAACAGGGCTGGGTGCATTCAAAAACCCAGTTGGGGTTGGCATGTACAAGCTGAATTGATGGCAGATAAAGACAGGACCTGGGGTACAGTGCAGGCATGGAGCTGGAGTGCCTGTCCCCCACTCTGGAGGCTCCAGTGTGCTGTGTGTTCACCTGCTGGAGGCAGACACTTTTATTACATACATGTGGTTCAAATGCTCCAAAGCACATCTAAAATTCCACCAAAGCAGATGCAACTTTAAAGTGTTCAGCCCCAAAAATAATCTGATCCATACAAATAGCAGCATGTACCTGGTGCACTGTATGATTAATTTTATGAAATGTTTGGCAGGGTAAAATAAAATAAATAAAGTAATTTATTTTATGGAATGCTCAAGCAGCAAAGTCATTGTCAATGGCTGGTGTCAACATCAGTTGGATTTTCAAATGTAACTTTTATGTGAGTTTTGTTGAGCATTCAGAGAATGTCTCTTATGGTAAAGCCCCACATGGAAACTTTATCAAATCTCCATGTCTTAATTGGAAAAACACCAGCACAATTTGTTTCTTCACTTTGATATTGGGTCATCTCAGATGGGCAAGCTTGGCCAGTTACACTGAGACCCCTGGCTGGCCCATCTCTCTCTCTCTCATAGATCTGACAGCAGAGAGAGAGAGAGAGAGAGAGAGAGGGAGGGAGGGAGGGAGGGAGGGGAAGGGGGAGGAAGGAGAGAGAGAGAGAGAGAGAATGAGATGAGAAGCTAAAAAACAAGCACAGCACCGACGCGCTTTCCTAACCCATAATAACAATAATAATGTTTTGCATCCATCTTGTTTCCTCCTGCCCCTGACGTTCCAGGGAGTAAAGCAGTGAATGGCTCTGCAGCTAAACTACAGCAGTATTATTGTTGGCCAACAGGAGGGGCCACGGTGGCTGAAGCCCGGGTGTACCGGGACTCGCGGGGCCGCGCCAGCAGCGAGCCCCACATCAAGCGGCCGATGAACGCCTTCATGGTCTGGGCCAAGGATGAGCGCCGGAAAATCCTCCAGGCCTTCCCCGACATGCACAACTCCAACATCAGCAAAATCCTAGGTGAGTGTGTGGGGGCCTTGGAAGGTCACAGGGGGATTGTGTGCTTCTGTTGATTGAAGGGCTTCGGGGATGGGGGTGCAGATCCGGATCTGACTCCCCCATGGATCCCAGATGGACGTGGTTTTATCTCCTTTTTGTTGTATCACTGTATATTAATTATTACACCCCTATTGTTCTATTGTATACATTGATCTTTGTGGTCACTGCGCTGCAAAGAGAGAGAAAGGACAGCAACACACATGGAGCTCTTTGGGGAAAAAAGGCCAATTTATTGTACAGCCAGCCCGGGTTTAAAGTGTGTCAGTGCAGCCAGGACAGGACAGGAGCTCATGGGACAATTGGGAAAAACATCCTTGGGACAGCACCTCAGGATGTGTCCCACGGGAANGACAGCACCTCAGGATGTGTCCCACGGGAAAAACACCAGGGGTTAATGTTGGTGATGAATTCCACTCTGTTTGTCACCATGTTGTCACCCTGGGAGACTCCTCCCTAACTGAAGCTGCAGTCAGCTTGTCAGCCTGGGAATGGAGCTGAGAGTCAGGAGAAATCCAGGCCTGGAGAGGATTCCCAAGCTGTAATTCCCCAGCTCTCTAAACGTGTGTGTCCACAGATCTTATCCAAGCATGAATTCTTGTCATTTTCATCAAGCCCCCCAAATAGCCTTTCTCATGATTCATGTTATGATTGCATCATTTCTCATGATTTTTATTATGATTAAGCAATAATTAATAAACAATTATTCAATTACCAAACAATCGTTACATTTAAAAATAATATAATTTATAATGCGATGATAACACAGGTGTAGCTTCACATGATCTAGAAAAAACAAAGCTCAATATTTGTTCCCAGGGCCCAGTTCCCTTTCCCAGGCCTATCAGACCCAACCTTCCTTTCCACCCCCTGAATCTATTGTATGCAATTCCCATGATTTTAGAAACATTTTAAACCTAAACACTATCAAGTGCAAGGCAACAGGCAGTGAGTTGTGTTGGGTTTGGGTTGGATGTTTGGAAGGAATTCTTTGCTGTGGGGGTGGTAAGGGTCTGGTACAGGTTTCCTGAGAAGCTGTGGATGCTCCATCCCTGGAAGTGCTCAAGGCCAGGCTGATGGGGCTCTGATAAACCTGGGATGGTGAAAGGTGTCCCTGACCATGGCAGGAGGGTTGGAATTGGATGATCTTTATGGTCCCTTCCAACCCAAACTATTCCACAGTTCTATTAACTCTAAATTTAGGACTTTTTTTTTTTTCCGGGAGACGTTCACTGAAATTGGAATTACTGAAACTTACACAAATGAAGATTCATGGCTTGTTTTCATTTTCATTCCCTTTCTTTTCTCTTTCTACTGCTTCCCAAATTCTTTTTATTCTCAACAGCAGTCACAAAATGCTTTAAAACTTAGCAGCATTGAAAAGGAGTGTTTTGTGAAATGTTGCAAGAGTGTGTCCCAATAAAATCCCAATAATTGCAAGATCCCATTAGAATGCACCTGAACTACAAATCACCTGAATGCAAAATGGGACTTGCTAGAGTAAATACTGGGATAAAGTTAAAAAAGTACAAAACCAGAATCAGAGGTTTGTGTCAGACCCCTGCAATGTCAAAGAAAGAAACCTGGCACAGTTCAAAAGACCTGTGCATGCAAACCCCACATCCAAAATGATGTTTGGTTCAAAATGTTGCAATGTTCAAAAAGCTAACCATGAGAATCATGCAATTAAAATATTGCTTAGGTAAAAGTCACCATAGTTAATATTTAATTTGTATAGATTGGGACAATCGGGGAATATTTAATGGGTTTTATTTTGCCACTGTGCAAATAAATGGACTCATTTTTGAGAAATTTTGATTTGCTTTTTAAGACCCCTCCAGAGAATTAGAAACATACGTGAGAATGAGTGGTGAAACGTTAAAACCTATATTTGCTTTTTGAGTCTTTGAAGTGAAAGACAGATTCCAAATGTAGCTCATAATAAATAAAAGTAAAAATCAAGTTTCCTCTGTAATCATTTTATTGTAAACTCCGAGTTCAAATACATTCTTAGCAAAGTTTGTTGCATGTTAGTTCAATCAGAGGCAAGAATACATAGAAATAAATGTTACTTTGTCCTAAAACTTCCAAAATCTTTCTTAGTAGTTCTCATATTTTTGTCTACCATATAAGTAAGTTATATGAATAGCCTTTCAGTTTTGTATAAAACCTTCACTGTTTCAGTGTTGGCAGCTGTAGGGAATCTATATTATTTGTGTGCATTCTGTGAAAAAAACTATTAGGAGCATAGTAACTGTATTCATTAAAATGTAAACTTCCAGCATAAATATTTCAGAAGTGCCAGCAATTGAGTGTTTGTTAACCATGGAATTAACCTGTCAGGATCTGCTCTGCCACAAATAAGTCTATGTCCATATAATATCTGTGCAACGTTTCCAGGACAATGAGAAAAGAGACTGAAATATTAGAACTGACACAGAATATTGCTGGCTACGGATAATATTTATACAACTTTTCCATTTGTTGATGTATGAAAAATGTTGGTAAAAGAATAGCTTCCACCCACGTTTACCACAGCTGTAATCGTTTTATTCATCTAAAAGACACCAAAAAAGCTATTTTCTGCATTTCTTATTCCTGTCTCTATTCAAGTGTTTAGATAGCTCCTTACAAACAATACAAGAGACCTGAATACTTTTGCCTTTTCCTGTGTACACTGTGTTAATTTTTTAACTTTTTTATTGGTGCAGCTTTCAGTGAGAGTTTACAGTACCTGAAGTGGTGTATATAGTTACAGTGTGCTTTCTGTTTTCCTTTTTTTTTCCTTTCCAATGTGAGTTTGTGAAATGTAACTTTCTAAATTCAGTTCTGTGTGCTTATAACATCTGGCCAGAAAATGATATGCATAATAGGATTTAAAATAGGTGTCAGTATTATGCCAAGCTTATATCAGAAGCTCAGTAAATTTAAGACTCCCATACAGCAAGGGATTGTTCATAATTTTGCTGAATCTGTAAGGTTTGATACTTTTTTTCCTGCTACATAGCAAGTTATTAATATCTATTAGCAGGAGTTGTATAAACCAAATTCTCATAAAAATATCAAAGAAGCCTGTGTCCCTAGGCAATGTGTTAGGCTTTTAACAGTGAGAGTATGGCTGCAGACTTTGCTGAACCATCACACTGTGCTTGGTATTACAGAGCTGTGGAATTACTCACAGATTAATGCTCTTATTGTAAAATATTAAATAGTCTGTTTTGCAGCACGAGGTTGAGATTTTGAGACTTAACTATTGATTTTAAGTGTACCCTATTTAATAGAGATTTACATATGCACAGTCTGCAGCAATATCTGGAATTCAGGGTTCTTTTAAGGTGTCTCAGGTTGTGCAAGCCAATGTATGCACAGACCGATGTAAATTTAAATCAGTTTATTTAACGAACTTGATTAAAATTTATTATGGCGAGAAGGCACGTTGAACTGTGTGTTTATAAAGCTAAATCTGCTTCACCTGAGCACTCACCAACACTTTGTATCCATAGGATCTCGCTGGAAGTCCATGTCCAATCAAGAGAAGCAACCTTATTACGAGGAGCAGGCACGACTAAGTAAAATCCACCTAGAAAAGTACCCGAATTACAAATACAAGCCTCGACCAAAACGTACCTGCATTGTGGATGGGAAGAAGCTGCGCATTGGGGAATACAAGCAGCTGATGAGGTCTCGAAGACAGGAGATGAGGCAGTTCTTTACTGTAGGGTGAGTGCAAATAGAAAAAAAAAAAAAAAAACCACAACAAATAGAGTTGTCTGTTTGAGTCACTGTGTAATGTCATTTAGAGGGAAAGGGTTGGAACTGCTAAGACCTTATTAAAAAAATAAGATGGAATATGGAGCTATCAGCTGGCCACTGGATGCTGATTATGAGACTGATTGTGGAATTCCTTAAAGTCAAAAGAAGTTGTTTCCCATCGGCCTGAAAGGTTTGAATAATGTCTTTTGTGAGTCTTTAGTAAGGTAATCCATTCTGGGTTAGTAATGGCTACAGCATCATTTCCTAAATTAAGAAAAGAACGAAGAGAAAAACACAAAGGATTATTCCTGTGTAGAATAAGGAGTCAGGAGAGGGGGAAAAGGGAGAGGAGTAATAGTAGCTGCATGAGGAGCACACATGAATCTATGATACCATGGTATGAAGCTACTAGGAATTTTGTTATATACAGAAGTGTGTAAAAAAAATTTAAAAAAAAAAAGTTTTAGAAAGGGTCTTTCAAGTAGTGCATAGATAGACTGGATAGATTTATAACTCAAAATATATGGCCCAAAAAGATCCTGGCAGAGATTTAAGAACATTGTGTGTGTTTCTAGTGGTATTTCCTCTGGTGTTCAGCAGAGAAAGGAGCACTGTGAAACATCTACAAGCTAAAGATAACAAAAGTCCAGTGAAACAACTGCACCATAACTGATTTCTCTCTCCTGTTTTTTTTTTTTTTTTTTTTTTTATGAATTAATCTGTGATGCTCAGTGCTCTAACACAATATTTCTGGTGATTTACAAAGAGTCTAAAAGCTGCCTCCAGTGCCAGCCTTTCCAAATTCACAATGTTCTGCTTATTTCTCTAATCACAATAGTCTCCTTTTGTTGGGTACTTCAGTACCAGATAATTGACCTTGACGTCGATTATGTGCCCTCATTTTTGGCTTGGGATGCAGAACTCCTGTTGCAGTCAATTATTTTGTGGTACAGCCTGCAACAATGTGGGCTCTTTCTTCAATCAGTAAATAGAAGTGGTTTTGATATCTTGAAACAGCCTTCCACTCTACAGTTATGACATTGTTTTTTTATTCTTCAGTCTAAGGGAAATTGTTTACTAATAATCTACCATCAAAATTGCATATAAGACTCTAAGTAGAAATCTGAATTTATACAGAACATTGAAAATTATATTCAGATTGAGGGAATGAAATTCTAGCTTATGTCTTCCAAAGCAGATTGACATAAAATCACATATAGACAAGAAATGCAAAAGAAATGCCAAAACAGCAGTCTGAACAATTTGAGAATTGTTTGCTAATTCAAAACAGTATTAAGCAGTAGCATTTTGCACATTAAATGTGGTGGCTAAACGGGAATGAATATGGAGGATGGATTTAAGACACTTCTAGAAGTGCCTACCTAAAGAGTGATACTTCTATTAAGAATGTACATATACTTTTGAAAGGTATTCCAAACCAAAGTGGTGCACCCTAAATGTAACACCTTTCTCATATATCCAACAGTGTGATCACCAAGACCATGGGAAAGTCACCATTTATTGAAAGGATTGTTTCCAATTCCTGTTTATGCTCAGTCCACTTCAACATGTTCTATCCATGGTGAAGTTTAAAGTAAACTACCTCTGTGCAGCTGCATGATGGTGCACTGGACTTCACCAAAACCAATGGCTTTTAGTTCTGCAAGTGATGGAAAAAGGAGTATGAAGTATAAGGGATGCATTCAATAAATATGAAAGGAGATCCATTTTGCTGTTCAATGTGAATATAGATTATGGTCCTGAGCAATCACGGGCTGGGATTTAAAAAAATTATTCCTTACTTCCCTGTCACTACCCACTCTTGTCCAAAATTCCCCTTTTCCCTCAAGAATAATTTAAAACAAACTTATTGGAAGACACCAAGTAAAATCAGTGAAAAAGACAGACTAGAACATCTTTTTTTGAGCTGAAACATAAAGCATGGAATCATTTGTCTCAGCAGAATAGTTTACTAACTAATGAAAAGCAACATTTCTTCCAAATCAGATTATAACTAAGTGAAACACAGTAAGTGAGCCCATCAGCTTCTTAAACTTACTCTTCCCTGTGTTTAACATAAATATCACATAAAGCATCAGCTGGAACAGTTTCCTAACTGACCTCACACCCCCATTATTTTTCCACTGTTTTGATGGAACAACATAAATCGTCCTTCAGAAGTGAGAGCTGAGATGCTGTTTCCTTCTCAGAGTGAAATAAGAGACAAATGTGGTTTTTCGGATTGAATATGCTCTGTGTTTACAGTAAATATTTCAGTGGAAGATAGAGAACAAAAGTACAAAATAGACTCCAATGAAATGTGCCAAGTACTTCATACTGCTTGAAGTACTGCTGGGGATTTTTTGTTGCTTTTTTCTTTTTTTTTTTTTAAGTACAAACCAATTAAGTTGGGAATGGGTATACGCCGAAATGGCAACAAAATATCATCACAGAATAAACAGAAAAGTAGGAGACTTGTGAAGAGTCAGATGCACCTTCAGAACAGGTGGCTAAAGGAAACAGTAAAATGTGAGAAGAAATCTATTTTTTCATAATTACGTTTGCATTTTTTCTTATACCAAATGTACATTTATGTTTTAGGCAATCCAGTAAAGGCTAGCTCGTGTCAGACTCCCTTAGGGAGCCACTGGCTAAAATGAGAAAATTCTGCTCCAGGTACAGCCCTGCACCTCAAACCCGGAGTTCTCCACGGCTCCAACTTTTTTGATGCACAAAGTGCACTGCTCGCTTCAGTGAAGTGCATCTTTGGTAAGGTGCACAAAGGGAGTTTGAAGAATCTCAATATACAAACTAGCCAGGATTTAAAATAAAATAGAGAAATAAGCTAATGAATGGCCAGGTTCTATTCTGATCTTTGACATAAAACCTTCAAAGAATAGAATGAGAGTGAAGATTTCTTGGAATAAATTGGGCAGGAAATTAATGTTTTCAGATAATTGTTATATATCTGATAGACCAAAATCTGGGAACTGCCAAGAATTTTAAAGAGCAGAGTGGAACTTTCAGTGTGCATAGGCTTTCTACTGCATCACTACATGAATGAATTTTCTTCCAAATGAGGCAGATAATATACAGAAATAATCCATGTTTAATGCAGAGTATGTTAAAAAATTGCTGCTTTCAATCTCGGGGAAGCTAATTCTGAAGCCAGCTATGTCTTTAAAATAATTGAGTTATTTTTAATAGCAAAATTATTAATGGAACTTGTGAATGATACCTTCAGCATAAGTTACTCCCAAACAGACTTCAAGAGATTTACAATTTATCCTCAATAGCAGTTTTTCGTAATGCATAAATAAATGTGAGCTAACAAATGGATCATATATGAACCATAAATTCAGATATTTTAAGTTGAGTCTGTCTTTTGTTGCCTTGTCTTGCAAATATAATTCATTGCTCAGTCATTTTTACAGTCTAATACACTCTAAATAGAAGTATATGCTATACACATTTCTCTGCAAAATGATGTAAGCAGTAACTTTTTTTTTTTTTTCTGTGCTTTACCAGCATAAGATGTTTAGAATAAAGCCTTTATAGTGTTTATAACTACTGTACACACGTAGTCTCAATGTTGCTAGGCTATGGTTTTGAATAAGTCTGTAATATTATACTCCTGTAGCTTGAACTTCAAGCAAGTACACAATGGGTGCTTTTGTGAGATTTACTGTTATTTCATTCCTTATGGGAATGTGAGTTTCAGGGGTGTGTAACATATGAGCGTTTTCCTTAATGCAATCAATTTTTGCTTCAGACATTTAAAGAGCTGTCAGAAAATGGTTGGGAAAGGATCAGAAAGCAATGGTCATTTGCCAATTTAAAGGTTTAGCTGGTTTGGCAAAAGTCAAAAGAAGAACATTCTCCAGAAAAATACTAAGAATATTAATGCCACAAATTTGTGAGCAGGTCAGTTTTTCTCATAATTTTCATGTTGCTTCCATTTTTATATTTACTTAATTTTTTTTTTTTGCCCAATCTTTGGCCCCAGAGTGGACAGACAGTGCTGGCAGAGCAGATAGTGACCTCTAGTAATTGTCCCCATAAGGATTTCTTTGTCAGAGGAGATGGTGAAGACAGGAGTGGTTTGAAGCCAGGGTATGTAGAGATGTGCCACCATTCCCCAAGGATCTGAAGAGACCAGAAGATTAATGTTGCTTTCTGGAAATCCTAACAGGCAGAAAACTTCCATGTGCAACTGAGCTGAATTGTAACCTGTAGCTTGCAGGTAAAGTATGTTTTTATCTCCCCCCTCCAAGGGTCTGTGATAGGTAGAACTCTAGCTAGAGGCAATGATTAAATGTGTGGAATTTAATGTAATAAAAGACTCCATTAACAGGAATACCTTTAAGATCTACAAATATAAGAAAGCATAATGGCCAGAGTTGTAGGTTAGAAACTCCAACTCTTCCTTTCGGGGAGAGTAGTGGGAATTTAAACAAATGCTCTTTTTTTTCCTCCCCCCAAAGAACTTAATTACTTAGGAAATGATAACACTCATCTCTAGTAACATATGCTGTCCACATAGTTTGTGGCGTTTTAAAATAATGTAATGTAGCAACTAGAGCAGAATTTACAGTGACAACCTGATCAGCTCTAAATAATAACAGCTACTAAATCAGAGGTAGGTGTCCAGTTACTGGAGGTGTGTAGGTGCCCATGTTTAAGTGCTAGCAAATTTTTTTGCTAGCAAATGGGCAGCAATTTGAGAACCTTTCCAATTAGGTGGTACAGTTACCACATGTTTACAGTTCCACAGTGAGATATAGGTAATTTAAAATTATTACCCAGCCAGCAGCAGGCATGCACAGCATGTCTGATTTTTGTTTGGCATGTAAAAAAGGACTGCATTTATGAATGACAAATCCAGTAAGCCTTTAACTTTCCTGTTATACCAATCAATTTCTTTGACAATTAGATTCATTCAGTAGCTTGCCATGCATTTGTCTGGTGTGCTCCCAAGTAAAAAGTACCTCTGTAAATTTGGCTTCTCTATGCTCAGATGACCTTCTCCATTTATACTTTGAAATGGGTGATACTTGGACAAGTGTTCCCAGTCCCACAGAAATGTGGACGTGCAAAAGAATTTTGTTGACTTGATAAGCATTTATAAAAATACCAGCATATCTCTGTCCTTTAGGCCTTGACACTGATAACCATCACTTCATCAAAATATCTCACTGCATTGTCTTAAGCAGACTTTTCAAGTTGTTCTTGGTGCTTGTAAAAATGCAATTTGCTTCTGAAAAAATACAAAATTTTTGGGGAGGGGATGTGTAGAGGTGGATGTTTGTGTTCTGCTGCTTAATGCCATTTACAAGACAGCAGCAGCTTTGACTCAATCATTCTTTGAGTAGGTTCTACAACTTCTGTTACAGGAGTTGTGAAAACTTCTCTCAAAGCATCATTTGGCATTGATATTATGGTGTTCTTTGATGAACAACTGGTGATGTTTTGTTTTGTGAATTTATTTATTCTAAGAAATACTGGTGAAAGATTTTTAGATGGGTAGATTAGAAAGAATTAAGTGTGTATGGCCTGGTGACAACTACATAGATTTTTTTGTGTTGACCATGTGTGGGTTTCTTTTTCCTCTGCTTTGTGGAAAGATTCATTAATGTGAACATTTTCTGCATCTAAAAGTCATGGAGGAGATACGTGTGGGTTTTTAGCAGTAATAGTTTATACTCCTGAAAACATGCAATCCTAAACCAGAAATGTTCCCATGTGAGGAAGGTGTTCAATTTTATGGATAAAGTATTGAAAGATGTTTGCAGAAAATCACTTGCAAGCAAATACATTGGCTGAAAATTGTTTTCACAGAACATTTATCAGACCATTTAAAAAGTGAAAATTTAGTGAAAAATCCCAAGCTGTTTGTAAATCATCTGCAAATCATCATTTGCAAACAGGAGTATAATGACTGTGTCAAATGAATTACTGCATTTTTGCTCGCTGCTAGCCAGGTGTACAAGGCTTACACAACAGATGTTTGAATTTCTCAAGCTGTGCAGAGGCTGTAAGAGTCAGGCTAGCAGTACCAGCCATGGTACAAACTATTTTAGTGGTGTGTTGCACAGGGTGTTCTTGATTTCACTGTATCACCACCCAAACTCGAAGGGCTGCAGCTTCCCTGGAGCTCTCTAGTGTGATATTTATCAAAATCAGAGTTTGATCAGTGAACGATAAAGACTTGATATTTAGAGTTTTTAAAGTAAGTTTAACATTATTTTCTGTTAGCCAATGATTAGGAATTTGTGAGACTGGTTTATAAAATGTCCTTTTGAATTTAACATAGAATGACACAGTGCAGATTCCTTAAACTGTTCAAAGATACCTGACAATGTTTCTCCTTCTAAAATTCTATAATGGGTCAATATTGCTTTAAAGAAGGTTGGGAATACATTGAGATGTATGATTCTTTAAATAGGTTATGCAAATAGACATGTGTGTTCAATAACTAGTCAATACAAAATCAGCATCTTCCAGGGCAGATTTGTTCTTTTTTTATCAAGTACTTTGCTTCAAAATCCCTATCTTACACACAAAATCCTGAAAAGCAAATGGCATTCTGATGATGGATCCAAATAAGAATCAAAACCAGCAATCAAATGTCAGAAGAATGTCTAAGTGAAGTAGGAGTCTACGTGGCACTTTCATAGTAAATTAGATACTTAGAGTTTCTCTCTGCCATTTTAGGTAATCTTGAGGTCCTCTCATTAACAGAAGCTCTTGCCATGAGTTTGAGGGTTTGGATTTTGGATACAGGGTGTCTTTGGTAGCAGGCAGGCATCACATGGGTGCCTGAAGCCTTTTGATGGTCTCTGTCCAAGTGCTAGTTTGTATTATGGTTTAAATAAACACATGAAATACATGACAGAATGTCTGGTAGTGACTGAAAGCACTTCACATCCCAGCTGTCCTCTGAGGGACAAAATGAATCAATAGCACAGAGGTCTGTGAGCCCAGAGGAACACACAGAGCCTATCTAGGAAAACACCTGCCTTGCTTTCCTTTGGACTTGCAGAAGGTCTTCCCTCCTCTAAACACAGGATCTCAGAAATCTGGAGTTTTTGAGCTTTCTGTGCTTCCAGGCACAGATCCCCTGGAAAACACTGCTCTGGAGCTGAAACCTTGGAGAAGGCTTGGAAACCTGAATAATGAGTTAGAAATCACAAATGTGTGGTGGGTTAGATGTGTGTGTTTTCACTGGGTGCTGGGTTTTAAATTTGAGGTTTTTATAGAATACTGGTGGATATGGGACAAGATGGAGAATTTTGGGTGGTGTCTTTTTCTTTGTTCATCTTCTTCTTCACAGAACTCAGGCAGTGACCTTTGGTTGGTCAGTCTAATGTCACTCTAAGGGGAATCTATTACTGGGTCAAAAGGATAAATAATATAGGTGTTAAACCTTTATTGGTTTGTTTGGCTTTAAAAGGCCTTGAAGCAGGCTCAGCTGGGGCCATTCTTCCTACTTGTAGCAAGGAGCTGGAGGTGCTGTCATATAACAAACATCCAAACCCAAACACGAGAATCACCTCAGTCGTGTTTCCATTAATCCTGGCTCTGAGGGCAAACAGAGACAGGTGACAAAGCACTGATAAAAAGTGATGCAAAGCCCAGCAAACACTCCCACAGACAGTGACGTTTCCCTCTTGCTTTTTTTTTCCCCCTTCCAGACAGCAGCCTCAGATTCCAATCACCACGGGAACAGGAGTTGTCTACCCTGGTGCTATCACCATGGCCACCACCACGCCGTCCCCCCAGATGCCATCAGATTGCTCCAGCACCTCTGCCAGCCCCGAGCCCAGCATCCCTGTCATCCAGAGCACTTATGGCATGAAGACGGACAGCGGGAGCCTCCCTGGGAACGAAATGATGAACGGAGAGGATGAAATAGAAATGTACGAGGACTATGAGGATGATCCCAAATCAGACTATAGCAGTGAAAACGAAGCCCACGAGGCAGTCAGTGCCAACTGAGGAGTGTTCACAGAATTAAAGTACTCAGACTCATTTGGGTTTTTTTGGGGTTTTTTTGAACAAAAGTTCTTAAAGAGCCTGCATGCATGTGTGGCTCCTACAGTTACATCAGCAGAATGGTCTTAAATGTTTCTTATTGTGTGAGACAGATTGTTTCCCTAATTTTTCATGAACTTGGGGTTTTTTTTTTTGTTTGTTTTTGTTTTGTTTTGTTTTTTAATTTAGATGAAGACATAAATATCAGACATCAGGACTTGAAAACTTATATGAATCAATAGCTGTCTTACAAGTCTTACCTTTTGTCTTTTTCCGTTTGGATGCTGATAAAGGTTTAAGTTACTGTTTTAGATGGGGGTTATACATTCTCACTCAGGTATGCTGTGCCAGCCTACAGGTTGTGAATGTGTTTTTATTCTGGATTATTTTAGAAAACAAAAACTGCAGATTTCATATTGTGAAACAGAACAAGTCCGCAAGTGTGCACACCTGTGCATCATAGCTTGTCTTTAAAAAATAGTCTCTGAATTCCATTTTTTTTTTTCCATATGTATAGCTGAACTTCTGATGTGCCAAACTTTTCGTAACTTTTGAATCTTAACATTTAAACAAAAAGTCTTAAAGGAGACACTGTAAAGTCTTAGACAATCCTTTGGCATCTTAAAAAAAAAAAAAATTATATATAAAACCTAACTTTTTCCAGAATATGGTAAAGTACTCAGGAATCTGGAGACAGGATATTCTTAATTAGTGAACATGGTTGCCATAGTGCATGTGCCCAATTGCTTTTGCCTCTTGATGTGCCATTAGTGTGAAATTTGAAGCACAAAAGAGCGATCACCAGCTATGGACGGGCCTGTCTTAGCAGTGTGAGGCCACCTCTGATTACATTCTCTACCCCTTTGCTTTTAACCCTTGCATTCAGTCTTAACACATTTTCTCTTAAATAATTTATTCATTCCAGAATGTCAAGGGTCCAAATACTTAATATTTATTTTTAAAAGTACAGTTGGTGGCATTACACTTACAATTCCTTATTGATATTTTAAAGAGCCTCTTCTTTCCCCTTCCCTAAATCACACAGGTATATGAAAATAAAAGTGCACCTGCTACTAAAATGAACATGACCTTTATGAATGAGAAATTCACTTGTTCCTCTAACACTGTATGTTCAAGGAGCACTTGGAAACACTCTGCTATATGTATTGCAAAATAAAGTGAGTACTTTTATATGTACATAGAGTACAAATACCCCTAAAAAGGTCTTGATAGCTACAAACCTCTGCACTCAGACAGCAAGGGCAGATGTGAAATCCAAACTGCTTTTACAGTCCACCATGCTGAATTTTTAGGGCCTGAGGAATCTGTGGCAAGTCATGGCTCTGTGCATCACGTTCCTATTGCCACCTGAAGGAACTGTGCTACCTTAAGTGTTTATGCAGTGATTTATCAGTGAGACTCCAAGTGGGGGAGGGAAGGCCACTCAAATATCTAATGGCAAAGGTGGGAAAATGGGTCGTCAAAATGATTTATTGTCCATTAGTCATGTGGGAATGTGACTTGTCAAGCGAATTTGGGATCTTTGGATGTAAGGTGCTAAAGAAACTAAAATTTCTGTTTGTATTCTAGAAAAAAAATACCATTGCTGGAGATAATTCTGGGAAATATGCAAGAGAGGCATTCAAAGATTGTGAATCTATTAGATGTTAAAGACAGAGGAGAAACTGCCTTTATTTTTCCCCCTCATGCTCCACTCCTGTTCACAAATAGATCACTGCATACATGTCCAGTTCCAATGGGCCTGATGAATAACTGTGCTGGAGCTCCTCAACTCAGATTTTATTTGGAATTGGCAGTGCTCAGCACACTGGTGACAAATTCAGGCTTGGGCTCAGAGGTGCCAGTGGGCCTAGAGCATCTTCCCTGGAAGTCTGGGAGCATCTTCTCAGAGAGCTGCCCAGGTTTTCTTGGGACAGCAGGAGTGCCAGCCTGGCTGTGCACCCCACTGCCACCTGCCCTGCCAGGAAAAAAAAAAACATTTCTGCCCCTCTAGGAACCGAGTGTGACCCCCTGAGACAAAGAAGATTGTTCAATTTACAGGACAATTTATAAAGATAATGGCATAGAAACACAATGGTCAGATTTCTCTGACCATTTT